GCGGTGACGTTAGGGAGCAGAATTCTACGCGAATAAGACAGCACCGATCTTGGCCGCAGCTAGAGACGATCATGAACCCCCATATTTCCATTCCTGCGCTTATATACAGCTCTCAGTAGCGGCTCCTTATCTTGATCAAGCTCGCCTCCGCCGCTGCGCTTACATTCCCTCGATCGTGGAGCCTAGAAGAAATATTGGTATCGATCAATAGAATGTCTCCTACATTTTGCTAGTGTATATGCTAAGTGAGAGGATAAGCTTAAATGGAAACCGTCACCTCTACGCTTACCGGATTATTCAGGGACGACGTTTGTCGTCACACAGGGATGTTTCATCTGAATTGTAGCGGATTCCCTCATTAGCATTACGGAAGTGCACATCAATGATAGAATTGCTCTTAAGTGGACTCCTTCTTCCAATCTTATCACAAGAAATTGTAAAGCAGGACTGCTAAGGCTCAGTTTACTCCTACCACTTTTCCGCTCCTCATCCCGTGACTCCTCCTCGTACGCTTTCTTTCCATTCTACCGTCTGCTTTCCTATACCGGCGTATAGTGTCACTCGTACATAAATCTTTACGTTTCATGATTGAACTGCAAGCAGAAGGATCTTAAGAAGTTCTGCCACGACCTTTTGCTTCTCTGTTGCGTAAAGGACCACTTAGCGACTACAATTTCATTTTTTTACTCATTGCCCACACCAAACCGTGAACTGTGCCATTAAAGCAGTTTTGGTCACTGCTGCAAATGCCTTGAAATGTGCTTCTCGTAGGCAGCGATTACGAAAGGTTCTAGAAGGGTTTCAGAGGGGACGTGGGGATGCTCAATGGTATGTCAGTGGCGAAAAAGCAGAGAAATCCGTCAAGAAACGCAAAACGGGACCCCTTTTTTGGCCGTTGGTTTTCACTCATGAACAGGTAACAGCTCAAAAAGCGGACGTATGAACGAGTTCACCGCAACGCGTTTGGTGGCCATGCCAAACCACGCTCCAATCGAGTTGCTCCAGTTGTTCGCTGCTGGCAACACGGCTTACCCAAATCATCAACTAAACTGGAGGTTGGAGCTACCAGCTCACGTTTTGCCGTGAAAGCGCCACACCTGCTTCCTTGGCAGCCAAGCTACTGCTTCGTGTGTCGCATATACTTCCCAGATGCGCTCCCTCTTTATCGTGATCGCTTCCTTTGAAGCCAAGTACAAGAATTCTTGACCGAAAGAACCCCTTGCG